GTGGCAGAGCGGAGTCCCGGAGTCTGCTGTTTCCATCCCCTCCTCCCCCTGCCGGCCTGGCCGCCTCTCATGCTTCCGGCTGGGCCTTGGGCAGCCCCGGCTTCATTGGATGGAATTCTGACAGAGAAGAGGCGCCTGCGCCCCACTATCTCCCAGGAATCAGCAACACGGGGAGCAGGGCCCCACCAGCCCTTCACCAGCGGCTCCCATTCACCCTGGCTTTCTGCAGCCCTCCCCCTGCACCCCCCCCCCACACACACACACACACGTGATTCTCCGGGTGCTGGATGGAGGGTGGGGAAGCATTTGTTATTAAACGGCTGGAGTCTTGCAGCCAATTGAACTCTGTGTTCATGAGCCTTCCTGAGGCTGGAGAAGGGCCCCCTGGTGAGTGCCCTGAGCACCAGGCTGCACACCCGGATGTTCACAGAGAAGGGCCTGGCCGCCACTCCGAGCTCCCTGGATCCCAAGGGCCCCTTCGGGTCGAGGATGCCAGGTGGGTGTGTGGGTTCTGGGTTCGGATTCTGAAGGCAGTCTGCTCTCAGTTCCCAGTCCAGCCCCTTTCAGTCTGACCCTGCTTCCGCACGTGAATCAGGAGTAGAAATTCTGGGCCTGCTTCCCGGGGCCGTGCGGAAGGATTCCGTGACAGGCAGACGCCGTGGTGTTGGATGGCTAATAAAGTGCTCAGTAAACTGCTGTGGTGGTCTTTACTTCCTGCTGGAGTCAGCCCAGCAGGTAGGCGCCCGCGCCTGAGGACCTGTGGGGCCTGGGCTCTTGGACAGGACGACCGAGTAACGCCGTGTGGATGTAACAGCGGCCCGACTTGTTACCCTCGCTGGGCCATCCCTACAGCTCCCCCCGCCCCCCGACCTTGGCAATGCCCTTGCTGAGGCCCACGGGGACAAGCCCTTGCCTGGGACTGCCAGTGCCTCATGGAAGAATCAGGGCTAGAAACTAGGCCCAGACCCTCCTGGGTCCGGCAGGGAGTATCTGAATAGCCCCCCCAACTCCCCCTCCCAGGCTGGCCCAGCGGGCTGCGTGCTGTCAGGAGCAAGGGCCAGGACAAAGAAGTATGGGTTTGGACCTGGTCACCTTCTCCACATTGAGGCACTTGAAGGAGAGCCTTGGCCCTTGGCCCCTCGCTGCTCAGACTCTAGGAGTTTTCTGGGCAGTGGCTGCGGCCCAGCCTGCGGAGGGGAAAGGTGGGAGCTTGGGCGGCTCTGGCTGAGGGAGCAGAGCCCAGGGCCCCTGTCTGTGGGCCTTGCCATGGCTGTAGGGGAGGCTGTGTTCCATCTCGGATGCTCATGGCGGTGGGCGGTGCTTCCACAGGCAGGGCCAGGCCCCTGGAGGCAGCACCCAGTGTCCTGGCGGGGAGGCCAGGACCTGCCTGGGTGTAGGTGCATCCCGGGGCCATGGCACAGAGTGCCAGGGCAAGGCTGGAGGGCAGGCCCATCAGATACGGAAAAATCTGGCAGCCGCGATGTGGAATTTTCCCCATTCCAGAGTCGCCCAGTGACGGCGGGGGCAGTGGGGCTGTGACGCAGCCCGTGCCCACTGGGCATCCAGCGGCTTTGGCACTGCCTGCAGCTAGAGCTGAGCATTCTCGGCTGTGGGTGGGCAATAATGTCCCTTTCCTTGGCCCTCCGGTGCATGCCCCGGGCACTGTGCTCAGCTCTGATGGGCGCCGTGGAGAGCTGGGGTCAACTGAGACCAAGTGTCTGAGCAGTGGGAGATGGGTCCCTTGCCTGAGCTTCCTTCGGGAATTCTGGCACCACCCCCGCCCCAGCCCCCGCATTCGTCTACATCTCAGAAGCAAACAAGTGTATCCCAGCCTGCACTGACTCTGAGCAGGGGACCCAACCTCCCATTGAGCCCTCAGGGCTCCAGAACTCCCCATAGAAGTTAAGCAGCTAGTCTAGCCGCCTCCTTCTTTCCCGCCCGCACCACCACCACGCCACCAGTTTCCTGGGCACCCTCGAATCCCCTCGGGCTAGGAGCTCAGCCGAGCCTCAGGGTCCGGCGGTGGGACAATGGCCCCGTTGGCGCATCCGAGACAAATGCGCCTTGTTGGGCCACTGGCGGGGGCGCGATGCTGAATGCGGCTTCTGTGCGCCCT